GTACATGATGTAACCCACCAATATTGTTGACTTAAAGCACCGTATAAGGCAAGAAAATAATGAAATCACCGCAGAGATGTTGCAAAATGTTATCGATATCACTGTCTATTTTTCTGCCAAGAGATGAACAGTGATCATTTTGAGCATTTGGTTTAGATAAATTGTAATAAAATTAAATTCATTATATGGCACTATTATTTTAAAAAATAAACAACCAGATTCGATGTTGCTTTTTTGACAAGAAAACAATTAATAGACCAGTCAATCGTAAAAGATATTCAACTCGATGGTTTTTTGATGAAAGGAAATAAAATAATTTTTTTCTTACTATCCTTGTAGAAAAAAGAAAAATATTTACATTGTAGTGTATTTTCATATATAAAAATTGACCTTTTTCAGGATTTTCCACTTGCGTTCATAATATTGTACAAGTTTATTTATCCGTCACTTTAGGACCTCACAATATAGAAGCAATATATAAACCAAATTTTATAATACTAATTTTTTTTAACAATTATATCAGGGCTTCCCAAACTTATTCGTACTGTGGCGCCCTTAGGACCCCTCAGGCCAATCCCCAATAACACTTACCAATTTTAGTACTAGCCTAGTCACAGGCTAGAGTTATAACAAAAACACTATTTGAACAATAAAATTTTTTTTTATTAGAAATTAAGAACGAAATCAAAACAGGCACAAAAATGAAAAGGGATATTTATGTATGTAACTGGCTGGTTCATGTGAGGGATATGCTTGCTATTTTGAGCACAGCTTATAAAACCGCGGTTCTAGTTTTGGAATTGCGACTCTTTTTCTAAGTTCACATTTGACCTGTACTTGTTTTTAATTGCTACAACTGCAGAAAATCTCGTTTCGCACAAGTACGAAGTCGAAAATGGCAATAAAACTTTAAGTGCAGCAAGAATAAAATATTTGTTTCTTGTGTGTACCGTACATAACATATCAATTGAGCATCATCATTACAATCAGTCGCCTCGTCCAGCTGAATTGCAATTAAACCTAAAAGTTTCCTCACAATGTGTTCATTAATATCTGCTTCCATGTCGTGAATACAGCGACTAACCGTATTGTTTGAATTTGTTTCTTTAGCTGCTGATTCTCCAATCATTACTGTTACTATATCAACCGCTGCAGATAAGATCAGCTCGGCGATCGTTTGTGGTTTTTTTCTTTCTTTCTTTATGTGCCGTCTTCTACCGAAGGTTGGCGACCATCATACGATAGGTTTCTCTGTTTTGTGCCGCATGAATTATGTTCGCAGCTTCTGGTATTTGAAACCATTCTCTCAAGTTTCTCAGCCATAATTTCTTCTTTCTGCCCAAACCTCGTCTACCTTCAATCTTGCCTTCCACGATAAGCTGTAGCAGACTGTACTTATCATTACGGAACACATGGCCCAGGTATGATGCTTTCCTCCTTTTAACAGTTGTTAACAATTCCACCTCTTTACCCATTCGTCTTAATACCTCTGTGTTGGTCACTCTGTCTGTCCAAGGTATTCTCAGTATGCGTCGATACAGCCACATTTCTAGAGCCGCTAACTCCTTTATAGTTGCTGCTGTTAACGTCCACCCTTCTACGCCGTAAAGTAGCGTAGAGAGAACGTAGCATTTCGTGGCGCGCCATCGGAGGTTAATGCTTAGGTTGCGGTTGCTTAAGAGCTTTCTCATTTTGATGAATTTGGATCTTGCTATTTCAATTCGGATCTTAATCTCTACTTCTGGGTCCCACTTGTCATTTACTGTATATCCCAGATATTTAAATCGGTGTACTCTTTCAAGGTGGTTTCAGTGGTTTTTTACATTTGCCAATATAGTAAGCTACCATGTACGAGGCGAGCAATGCTTTGGTAGGAATTGATGCTCTGGAAACCAAAGCCGTGGTCTAATGTTGTAGCTCTCGCAATTTTCTTACTAAAAGTCCTTGGCTTACCTTGTGAATAACTGTGAGTAGATTTTAAATACCGTTTTAGTTTAGGACTTTATTAGGAAGCATACTTTCAGTCGCCAATAAATTTGTGACAAACAAACACATTGTGGACATTCTACATTCCCTTTAGTAATGCAGGTAAATTCAAAATCCAAATATTGGCCGACATATTTCCTATATTTCTTCTTTTTCCTATCTTCTTCTTTAAGTTCCATCTTCTATCGAAGGTTGGAAATCATCATGGCTATGCGGACTCTGTTGCTGCCGCTCTAAAAAGTTCTGCACTACTGCATTCAAACCATTCCCTTAAGTTCTTAAGCCAGGATATTCTTCGTCTTCCCACATTTCGCTTTCCTCGGATTTTGCCCTGCATAATAAGTTGTAATAATGCGTATTTTTGCCCTCTCATCACATGTCCCAAGTACTCAAGTTTTCGTCTTTTAATAGTTAATATTATTTCCGCCTCATTTCCTATCCTTCTAGTTACTTCCATGTTTGACATTCTTTGAATCCATGATATTCGTAGGATTCTTCTGTAACACCAAAATTCAAAGGCGGCCAGCTTATTCAGATGAACTTGTTTTAGTGTCCAAGCTTCCAGACCATAAAGAAGAGTAGAGAACACGTAACATCGAAGCATTCTCAGGCGTAGTTCTAACCTTATATCCCGACAACAAAGAAACTTTTTAAGTTTAATAAATGATGTACGTGCTATTTCAATACGTGTCTTAATTTCTTTGGTTTGGTCTACATCTGATGTTATCCATGTTCCTAAATATTTATAGTTATTAACATTCTCAATTGCAGTATCTTCAATAGTCAATTGGATATTTGCATGTGCAGATTTAGTCATGATCATGCATTTAGTTTTCTTTAAATTTATCTTCAGTCCGTACTCATGACAGCGTTCATTAAGGCGTTGCATTAGGTTCTGTAAATCATTGTTGTTATCCGTAATTATTACTGTATCGTCTGCAAAACGTAAGTTATTCAAAACTTCTCCATTGATAGATATACCTTCTATTGAGTCTGAGAGCGCTTCTTGAAATACCGCTTCACTGTAGACATTGAAAAGTAGTGGGGACAGCACGCAACCCTGGCGGACTCCTCTCTGTATTTTGATATTTTCGGTGTACTGGCTGTCAACTCTTACCTTGGCAGTTTGATTCCAATATAAATTAGATATAATTTTCAGATCACGACTGTCAATATTTTTGCTTTTTAATATATCTACAAGCTTTTTATGTTGAACTTTATCAAATGCCTTTTCAAAGTCTACAAAACATAAGTACATATCCTGATTCATGTCCATGCATCTCTGAGCCAGCACATTCAAGCCGAACAAAGCATCTCTTGTACTCATACCATTTCTAAAGCCAAATTGTGTGTCACTAATCTCATATTCAAGAGTTTTAACAATTCTGCTGTGAATTATTTTCAAAAATGTTTTAAGTGTGTGACTCATTAAAGCTATTGTTCTGTGGTCTGAGCAAGTTGTTGAACTTGGTTTTTTGGGAATTGCTACAAAGGTTGATTGCAGCCATTGTCTGGGGATTGTGGCAGTCTGATATATTAGATTAAAGAGTTCAACCAGTACATCAATAACATCTTCATCGATGAGTTTTAATAATTCGATGGGCACCTCATCTGGTCCAGTAGCTTTACCCTCTTTTGTGTTTTTGATGGCATAGATGACTTCTTCTCTTAATATTGGTGGTCCAGTATCCTCGGTGATTTCTAATGACAGTTCTTCTCTTTCATCATTAAATAGTTGTTGAATGTAATTGGTCCAGTGACATAATCTCTCCTTCATATCAGTAATAATATCCCCTTTATCATTTTTAAGGATATTCGTTTTTGTACGCTTTCTAGAACCTGTCATTTCTTTGATTTTTTTTGTGTAAATTAAAGCTATCGTACTTTTTATCCAGATCTTCTATTTCCTTGCATCTATCGGAGAGCCACCTCTCTTTTGCCTCTCGAATTTTCTTTCTGATGTTTCTCTGAATTTCTTTGTATTTTATTCAGGTCTTTTGCTTTATGTTTTCTTCGTTCTTCCATGAGTTCAAGAATTTCTACTGTCATCCAAGGTTTTGTTTTTTCTTTAAGTGGTTTGAGGGTTTCTTTTCCAACTGACACAAGGGCATGTTGAATTTTTCCCCATTTTTGGTCAATAGTTAGAGTTTCTGCATTATCTTCTTTGACTTTCCTTAAGCTCTCGTTTATTTTAAATTTGGTTTCCACATATGTGTTGTCTTGTTTGAGACGTCTTGTATCTATGATTTTCTTGGTGCTAGGGCTGTTGACCTTCTTTAGTTTCACTCTCATCGACAAAACAACCGGGTTGTGGTCGGAGGATATGTCCGCTCCTGGATAAGTTTTAGATGATATTATAGAATTTCTATATCTTCTGTTGACGATAATATAATCTATTTGATTTCTGACTATTTTGTTGTTATTGTCAGCTGGTGACCTCCATGTATATAGTCTACGTTTAGGAAGTTTGAACAAGGTATTTGTAATTATGAGTTCCTCATTGACACAGAAATCGACAAGCCTATCGCTACGTTCATTCCTTTCCCCGAGTCCATATCGCCCCACGCAATTCTCCACTTCTCCTTGGCCAACTTTAGCGTTCAAATCGCCCATTATAATATTTATATCTTGTCTTTTAGTTAGTCTTAAGACATTGTCGATTTGTTGTCTTGATGTGTCTTCATCCTTATCTGCAGTGGGTGCATATACTTGGATTATATTTATTTTACATTTTAAATGAGAGTTTAGAGACAGCATTAATACTCGATCAGAGTAGGGAACAAAGTTACAGACAGCTTTATGAGAATTTTGAATGAGAATGAGCTTTTACCTATATACTCATTTAAAATCAAATAAATATATTTTCTATATTAAAAGCCCGCGCTGATACGCGACGCCCCTGGAACAAAGCAGCGACGTCCCAGGGCGTCGCGACGCACAGTTTGGGAAGCCCTGAATTATATTATACTGAGTTTACATATAATAGCACTTACCAACAGTTCCATAAATTATACATGGGCATTTAGGTCCTAACCATTCCCCGTCGCATTCAATTACATAATCCACACTATTAAAAAAGTCCTGTCTTCTTGTTGCGACAAAGGCTGAAAATCCTAAGCTATTTTGATGGTGCATCATTTCTATAACCAATCTTAAATTCACTGGTAATGGCATTTTATGAAACCTAAATGCCTATTAACAAAAATTTATGTAAAAACTAAGTTGAAACAATCGAAGAATTAATTTAATTATTATGTTTTCTTATGGTGTTTAAAATATGTACATTAAAATTTATAGAAAATGTAGATTTTAGCAAAGTGGTGAAAACCTCGAGTGCTATAAAACTATCTATATTTAGCCCAATCAGCAAGTATAAAAGTAATCTTGGTATAAAACGAAGATATGTGCAGAAGATTGGAAGCATTTGAGATGTAGCTATATCGAAGCATACTTAAGATCTCGTGGGTTGACGAGTCACACATGAGGATGTCCTCAGAATAATGAAGAAGAACCGAGAGGTAGTGACCACCATTAAATCTCTAAAATTACAGTACGTCGGATACGTTATACAAAATGAATCCAGATATGCCTCTTACAAGACATCCTGGAAGGAAAAATGTTTGGAAAGCGAGGTCTAGGAAGAAGAAGATTACCGTGTCTAAAGAACCTCAGAAACTGATTCAATACACATCTGTGCAGCTTTTCCGCACTGCTGCAGATAAAATAAAGATTGCCATGGTAATCATAAATATTCGTTACGGAGAGGAAGGACCATTAAGAAGAACAAGCAAGTAGGACAGTAATATTACCGTATCGGAAAATATTCATGAATATCTTATTGGCCAAAAGTCAAAAGTCATCTCCATTTCCTGTTATGGCTTCTTTAAATAGATGTTTTAGAGAAAATTGTGAATTTGAATAATAAGGGTGACAAAAACACGTATCTGACAATTTTTTTTCTAAGTTAAGGTGGATATTAACTATCCACCTTAACAACGTACGTATAA